ATATTTGAACATTTTAGGTAAAACTTGTAAAACAGATAATAGAATTTTGGAATAATAATTCTCAATCGATATCAAATAATATTTCACCAACAATTAAATTACCAAGCATTCATCAATTATCACATCAATTTACTGAATGGTTTTATACATCATGGAATAATTTATCAACATTTACATCTGATCATTTTTTTCCCGATTGTCAATTAACTCTTATACATGAAAATCATCGTCGAATATTAGGTGCATATTATGTTTGTGATACACTTCGTTCTTATATTACTAGTCAAGATTTACGTTTTTATCCAAATATACAATCGAATAAAGTTGAAGAATCTAAACATGGTCTTGTTTCTATACAAATATCAGGAACAATACATCAACGTGGTACATGTATCGGAATATTTGATCAATCATTTGGTTTAGTTCGTGATCCGAATCATAGTAATAATTATTTAATTAAATTTTGTTTTCTTAATATGCAAACACAACAACAAACACATCAACCACAATTATTATCAGCTAATCAACCAATACCAACATATCTTGTTGATATGATGCAAAATTATGATCAAACAGTTCAACAACAAATTGATTCAACTGATTATTTTATTGAAGATCCTGATGATGACGATGATGATGATGATAATAGGATTTAATATTGACTTGTTTCTTTTGTTCATTTGAACAGTTGTTTTTGTTATTAATTATATATAAAAAAAAGTTAGATGTAAATATTAAAATAGGAAGATTATTAATAAATAAAACAAACACTTTTGTACAATTTGATAGAATACTTTAACATATTTTTTTATATTAATTAGAGACTTTTCTTTGTATATATATATATATAGATACTAATAATTAATCATTATGAATAAAATAGATTAGTAATAATATAATCTAGCTAAGAGCTAGAGATTGCTAAAAATATAAATCACAGTGATAAATATCTCTCTTATCTTATGATAATACCAGATATTGAATGAAATAATGTTCGGAATTGAGTATTTCTGATTAATAAGTTTCAAGAATATTCAAATCCATACAAATTTTACAATTATCGAAAACTAATTCCATAGCTTCTAAACTAGTATACGGATTACACGCATATCTATCTAGACATAATATAATAAAAACTTCAGATGATAGAAAGAGTACTTTTAGTATAGATAGTTCTTGAAGAAATATTACTTTCTCAAAAGTTTCAGGATATCTATAAACCTAAAGATACATTTTCTAATTGAGAGTTAGTGCACTGTCATCTTTCTGTGTTTATATGATGCAAAATATTTTTCATCACAAGAAAACATAGATGCAAAGTAGAAAAGTTAAGTTCGTTTTTCGATTCTTTGTGAATAAATGCACTACAAGAATAATGTTCAATTTAAAAAACATTTTGTAGACAACATTGCACATGTTATATAAGAGTTCTTACCGATACTTGATTGAATAGAATAAGATTCAGATTTGCCAATTTATTCTCTACGATAGTTTTCTGTATGGTAAATTAAAAACAGGGTATTACTTTACTCAAGATAGTAATCTGTCAATACCTTCTATGTTATCATCATTAAATAGTTATTCTTTATGCTGTTGTAGCTAAACATGACAGATACTCATAAATATTATCAAGTATAAACAGAAAATTAATGTCCATGAGATAATCGATAATCATATTTGGTATAGATGCAGTGTATTTCACGAAACTTATTTTTATATAACACACGAGATTGAACTCTACCTATGATAGACATACAAACAAATAAATGAGATGGTTAATACATATATAGGTCATTCGTAGTCATATTAAGTTGAAAAGTAATGACACATGCTACTAAAAGCTGTTCTTATAATAAACATGCCTATCGTTATCTCTTTTGTAATTAGCAACAGATGGATAATCAAAAGTGTCAATCAAATCTATGTTGCGGTACAAAATACTAAGATTCGTAGTATGTCTTTGAATAGAATATGATCTTTTTTTATTTATTTTAAATGTACATAGTTAAAATTAATCGAAATATTTGAATATTTAAAAAAGTACGCAATACATATATAATGAAGTCGTACAATCAATATATAATCATTCGGCGATCAACATAATTTACTTTATGTTGGCTATTTACGAAACATCATTATTACATTATATGATGCTTCATCTCCCATTAATACCAACAACAACAATAATTATCTATCGGCTCAATGATGATCATATGTATTATTCAACTTGTGTGATCAACGAATAAATCCTATTGATTATGTTATACCATTCCGATATGTATATATATATTTATTCGATTTTAACCATTTTCGAACTATTATCAATATGAAGTGTATTAACGTTTATTCGTGCGTCTAATTAATCCACGATTGAGTACATATTTATTGTTGACGTCAAAAGAAGAGAAAATGAGAGAGTATTAGCGTACATTGGACAACTATTTCCTTTTTTTTTCTATTTGTATATCTATCGGAGATATCGAGAGTAAACTATATTTGATTACTAGACTAGTAGTTATAATAATCTTCAGTTGAGTGTTACGAATTGTAAACAACATACAACAACAACAATACCAGTCTATTTATTAAGTAAGAAAGAAAAACAAGAGTATGTACTATATTATTAGATTATTTCAATATAAATAAATCATATATATATATTTAAAATAGAATGGATCTTAGACGTACAATTATAATTCTTATGGCAATAGCTTGTGTTATAACTATAATAGGTGTTATTCATTGTCATGTAAATTATCCATATAATCCAACAATATCTGCTTATCGTATGGGTTATTCAATAGTTTTTCCGATTTGTAAGTTAAATTGAAATATTTTTAAGAAATGAAAAAATTATGTATATTTAGTATTAACTTTAACTGGTTTTCTTCTAATCGAACAATTAATGATAACTGATGGTACACTTGCACCATTGAATCGTCTTCGAACTATTTATGCTTTTGCTGCTGCTATTGCTCTTTTTGTTTTTGGTATTGGATCAGCAATTGTAGCTAGTCGGTGGTATGGTTCTGCTCCACATGATGCTTATCATCATAGTAAGATTTCTTGTTTTTTTGATCGGATATCAACTATAAATACAAAACGATTCTTTCATTAGGTGCTGTTATTGCATCTGTCATTGCTTTTGTTGGTATGGCAGTTTATATTGCTGAAGCAGTGGCACGCAATCGTAAAAGTCGTATCATCTAAATGATGAATTCATAATAAGACAAGAAAGACTATTTATCTATTGTACATATATATATTATTCTTATATTTAGTAGCCATTGTTACGATTATTTTCTTTTTGTTTCTATTACTTATCGTGCGTATAATTGTCTTTGTGCATATACATATCTAATTATTCTTTTCTTTTACTTGTCAACATCAATGAAAATTATTTTAAATTTGATAAAAATTTAATTATGGAGAGCATATTGAATAAATGAGAGTTCGGAAGGTTATAAATTCTATCGATCTGGAAAGATTAAATTACAAACTAATTGTCTATTCATTTTTACCTTCAAAATGAAATTTATTCATATATCAATCTCACAAGGAAATAATTTAAGCACAACTAAAAGCATTGAAATTACGATGTTATAATACTGCACTTAGAACATCCTTTAGATATAGATGTTAATTAAATAAGAAGGCAATCCATCTTTTTTAATTTCCTTGTTTTAAATAGATTTAATTATTTCTTAAATCTCGAGGACAACACCGGTAATTTTCATCATTGTATAAGATAATATTTATTCATTAATAAAAGCAGAAATTAATTCATAATTACAGGAACATATGTAATCTAAAATAGTTATCGGATTGTTATTATATCTTACATAATCTTATTCTGTTAAGAAGATACTTCAAAACCTATCATTTCATCAGATTAATGATAGACATATATGTATCACGAATATTTTATATATTGGTTTTTTTTTTTTTCAAATGTGTGTTCATCAAACAAAAAAAAGGAAAGAGAATCAAAACAAAAATTCTAAAAAACCAACAACAAATGATTACACACACACACACATACATCAAATTTTATTTTCTATATACAATCTGACATCACCAGAGAAAGCCATCGTGCAAATTGTGTTTTTATTTTCTATTGTATCGATGGAATGCGCGAACGAGCTTTTGACTAGATTAATCATATATCGTATTTTAGCTCAATTATAAAAATTACTGTAGTCAATATGAAGAAAGTTTGTTTTTTATTTATACAAGATAACCTTCACCAGTCAATAATGATTTCGATGATGTTAATACAAGTTGTGATCGTATATGATTTAAACTATCTAATAGACGAGTTTGTTCATCAAATGTAAAATCATTACCAAGAATATCATTTAAATCTAATGAATTAAAATGACATATTTGTGAAAGATTTGTATAACCATTATTTGTAAATAAATGTATGAAACGATCTAATTGAAGATTATGAAGCCAGTCAATAATTGATGTTAACTGAGCAATATTTGGTTCATCTGGATGATTGACAAAGACGAGTCTTAAATACAAAAAAACAATTTTTTTTAAATATTTTAATGTTCTATAAATAGACTTCTGATTGGATTTGCAATCCTCTGAGATATTTTTATTTATAACTCTTGATATACTTTAGTTATAAGTCAGACATCATGATAATTTGTTTACATCAAGATCATTGTCAAGGTTGTCTGAAAAAGTAATGTCGTGTGTAGAAGTTATTGATTCAAGTACATTGAAAGAAATCAAACTGATTTATTGATTTCCGTCATTAGAAAATTTCATTCGTAACTAATGATTGAAGGCACATGAGAAATCAAAATAAATTGTTAAAAACACGACTTTTGATGATAATCGTATCATCAATAATTTCTAATAGTAGACAACTACTGTCTATTACTTTTTAATAAGAAGAAAAAAAAATTATTTCTTCAAAAATTTGCCTAAAGCAACTAGTTATATATTCTTTACTTTTGCTTTGCTAATGGAATAAGTCCACTGGGTACTAGAATGAATTGTGTTAACTGTTGAACAATTTCACTAAATTTTGGTCTTTGTAAATGATTTTCATTCCAACATGCAAGCATTAATTTATAGAGTAGATCAGAACATCCCTAAAAGAAAAAGAAAGTTATTGGAAAAATTTAATCTTTTAATCGCAAACCATAGGTGGTGGAAGACGAAATGATTTTTTCACTGCTTTAATAACATCTTGATTTGACCAATTCCAATACGGTCTTTCACCAAATGAAACAACTTCCCAACATAATACACCAAAACTCCATACATCCGAAGCTGATGTAAATTTTCGATAGTCAATTGCTTCCATAGCTGTCCAACGTATAGGAATTTTTCCACCTTTTGTTGTATAACTTTCAGCTTCATCTATTTCACGACTTAAACCAAAATCAGCTACTTTACATATAAGATCTTTATTAACAAGAATATTGCGTGCTGCTAAATCCTATTAATAACAAAATAAGTAATTGTTTTTTTTTCTTCTTCTCTTCCTCTATCTTTTTAATTTACTCGATGAACATATTTCATTTCAGATAAGTATTTCATTCCGGATGCAATACCACGTAACATACGTGTTAATTGTAATGTATCAAGACATTTATTTCCTTCATTTGTCTACAAAAAAGAATTTCTATTTCGAATTATCTAATGAAATTTTTTATTTTACTCGAAGATAAGTATCCAACGATCCATTTTCCATATATTCAGTTATAATCATAATTGGTTGATGTTTTGTAACAACACCTTCCAAATAAATAACATTTTCATCATCAAATTGTCCCATAATACTCGCTTCAGATAAAAAATCTAAACGAGTTTTTTCTATTGCACCAGCTTTTAATGTCTTAATTGCTACTGGTATATCTTTCATCATATTTGCTTTACGTAGTTTACCACGACAGACATCACCAAATTCTCCTTTAATAAAGAAAAAAAAATGAAATTGATGATGATCATGCAATAGATGATCTATGATGCGATGATAGTCTCACGATAGACATCTTGAGTCATTAGTATCAAAGAGAATCTCATATATACATTGATGACAATTGAATCAAATAAGGGAAGTTATGTAAGAAATAGAAATTTTGTACTATCACGAATATATAAGTATATTACCTCCACCAATAACGGATTCAATGACAATTAAATTTGGATCAAGTTCATGTGCAAAATCATTAACAGCTTTTGTTGGATCTTCATACTAAAAATAGAAAATAGAATTATATATATATATTTCTATTGCGTCTAAATACTAACTGTGTGAGGATCAACATAAGTCTTTGATGTTGTACTCAATGAAGGCCATAATGGTGCTGTCCCTATAATATAGAATTATTAAAAATAAAAAATCCAAGTTCAAAAGAAATACTTACAACCGGAATTAAAGAATACATCAGGTCCATAATGTCCACTGACTAAAAATGATCAATCATATTTTTATTGAATAATAAAATCTATTTTAACTAACCTTGTCGTTTTTGATAATCCAAGGATTCACAATCACTTGCTGTTTTTAATCGACAAAAACGTTTCCTATAAAATAAATTCACATGTATACATACATTGATTATTTTAAATTTACTTTTTTATATAAATAACAGCTAATATAATAATAGTTATTAATGAACTAAGAATAATTAAAGGACTAATAAAAAGAATATTTTTATTATCGACAAATTTTTTTGTTAAAGCCGATGGTATAGGTTGATCAATAAATATTGCACGTAAAGAAATAATTATTTCTTGTGTAAATGCAGTCCAACCAAAATTATTATGAGCACGTATTTGAAATTTATAAATATCCGTTTTTGTTACTAATGTAAAATTATTCATTGATAATTGAACAAGCATCTTTTTATTTTCATCTATTAATGACCAATAACGTATTTGATATTGATCGAAATCATCTGATAACCATGTTATTACAACTGTATCAAATGTAACTCGTCGAATATTTATATCACGAATTTGTTTTGATACTACGGGGGAAAACAAAATTATTTATTTTGAACAAAAAAAAAATTTTTCTATACTTGAAGGTTTCGTTTTAAATGATAAATCAGTAGATTTACTTAATAAATGTGTTGACATTTGTTCAGTATATATTTTTATTCTATATTCTGTATTATCATGAAGTCCAATCATTTTTACTCTAAAAATATATAGTTCATTAACAAATAAATTAGTTAAATCAAATTACCTTGATCCATTAATAAATGTTCGACCTGGTTGATAGATTATATATGATTCACAAGATATTAAAGGTGTACATTCGATATGATATATACTATCATTTGATTGTTTCCATGATATTTGAACTGAAATTTGATCAATCTCATCAATTGTTACATTTTCAGGTTCACTTGGTTCACCTATATACACATGAAATAAATCATATTAATATATATATATATAACTCTTCACTTACTAATGCACGATGAATTGATTATTGATGAATTTAAACGAAAAAATCGATCATTACATGTACATAATGATGAACCTTTATCTTTTGTATGACTATTCAATGGACATGGTTCACATCGATAGTCATTACTTATTTTTGATTTAAATGTTCCAATTGGACAAACTGAAAAAAGAATTGAAATTAATTTCTTTCTATTGTACAATTAAAATTATCTATAACATCAAAAGGTATGCGATATGAAGGAGAAAACGATTATTTCCGTTCTTGTATAAAATGAATAAGAGTGATAGTCTTAGTTAATTAGAAGGATTGAAATACAATGACATGCATTGTAGTTGAAAGTGTACAAGGTCATATATACAATATTGTCGATGCTTTTCTCAAGGGTAGAAAAAAAGAGGCCTCCTCATCTTAACAAATTTATAGCTACTTATTATGTGGAACAACTGAATCAAAAAAGATTATCAGAACAAATTTAATTAGTTCTAATCGAACAGTTTCTTTACATACCCTTACAAATGGCACGAGATAAGAAACTATTATTTATATAATTATTATTATCAATCAGTAATTCATAACCCTGTTGACAATGACAACTATCATGTAATGATGTTTCTTGAAATGTCCATTCACCATTTCCTTTACAAAAACCTAATGGTTTTCGAATAATTTTTGAATTTATCGAACAAAATCCATCACGTTCAACAATATCGGTTAAATGTGAACCAGTTGGTGTTTCAGGAAAATGTATAAGACCAATTGATTTTTCTTCACATAAACGATAGAAGATTTTAACATATAATAATGATATACAAGCACCTTGATCACGAAATGCAATATAAAATCCATTTTTATTAACAGATATACCACGTGTTTTAACATTAACTGTTAAATTGTTTCGATTTGATGATGTTTGTGTACCATAATTATTTGATGTAAAACGATTTCCAGCGATCATATCAACTAATTTATATGATGACCATACACGATTATTATCATCATAATCATTTTCATGTATATAAAGTTCAAATGTTTCACGACATGAACGTATTTCATTTGGTGTTTGAAATGTTGAGCAATCACGGATAGAAAATCCAAGTTCGATTTCAATACGATGTGCTTGTTGACGTTTAAAATATGGTGAACGTAACCAATTATCAACACGACGTTCCGATGTTATATCACATACATATTGTGTACGCCATAATGTTGATGTTGATGATGATAATAAAAGTGTTGGAAACATTTTTGCCTCAAAACTTAATTCACCCCATCCATCATTTAGATTTCCATTTGATGCTATTTTATACCAATTTAAATAATCTCGAGCTTGACGTGTATCTAATATAACAACTAAATAAACATCGAAAAAAAAAATATATATATTAGATATGTAATTTTCAAGATTTTTTTAATTACCTTCTTTTACTGTTTGAACAAATGGATAAAATGAAAAAATAAAAAATACTAATAATTTATCGATCATTGTCGATTGTGACAGACTAGAATAAAAAGGAGATGATAATGTTCGTTGTTGGCTACTTCTATACTGATTTTTGAGCTTTCTTATTCTCCTTCTTTTTTTTTTCTTTTTCTTCTCCTCTCCATACAATGCCATAGAATAGACATCATCATCATCAAATTTCCTTTCTCCCTCTCTCTCTCTCTCACATAATACCACTCTGAGCGATAGTATCTATAGAAATAAAGGAGAAAAAAAAAGAAAGGGACAGACAGAAGCTGACCGACGCCCGAGTGCGCACAAACATCTATATAAGTATATATATACTTATAGACGAATGTATGCAGAGACACAATGAATTAAATGTCAAATGTATTTTAAATGATTTTTCAGTTTAGAAATAAAGAAAAAACGATGATGTTCAATGATGTATTAACCTATTCTCTTCAATTATGATTTCAACACATGCATGTAGTAAAATATTTATATCAAAAGAGAAATAACTTTTATTAGTCTATTCATGTAGTATTGCACAATTTCAATAAAACTGATGATGACGTTTAGCGTAATTTCATTTTATACACTCGGCAAATCTCGAGGCCAATCATCCCATTGCTTGCCGTCCTCTTTTTTTTTTTTTTTTTTTTTTGGTATACGTTTATCGATTAGGCTTAGGGCTGCTGACGATTTCTCGTATACATAAGACGATCATTTATTACATAATTAGTATGGTCGATTATAAGAATTCTTTTTTCTATCTTTCTTACAAGTTTGGATTGTGATGATAGGTTGTTATTTTTCTCAAAGAATAATTTTATATGTCAACTCATCTAACTTATCCAATCTCTCTAATCTAGAGAATGTGAAGATAGATATTTTCTTTTTATTATCAACAATAATGTGTAGTAACCGATTACGACATGATCATTCTCAAGAGAAAGAATCAATTTTGTTGATCTGTACATAAGTGAACAGTATAAATAAAAAGGATCAATGAAGTGCATGAACATCAATAAAGTTCTATTCAATATGTTCGATTATGCGCATTTTCCTTTTTTTTGCAATTACCTTCGTTTAGATGTGAATAAGCACACTATTGTAGTAGATGATTTCTAATTGTTGTTGATCAATAATGGTTATATAATTTTCTAATGATACAAGTACATCTGTTTCGATAAAGAAAAAAATATGGCTCTCAAACTTCATCCGTTCTATTTTATACATATAATATAATCATCTTGTTATGATGCTAAACAATTTATTCATCAAATGTTTTTTTTTTGAGTAACCATCTGGTTCATCATAGCGACAGCCTATTAAATGGTTCATTCTTTTAAATTGAACAATTCTTTGAAACAGTGAAGAGGATATACAAGGTCATATAATAATGAAACAAGTATTATTAATTAAGTAAAATAGAAGAAAGCATATTTTAAAAGCAAAGCATGTTCGATGACATAGTGCATTTCCCTTTTGCCTATCATTTTTGAGTTCCTATAGATTGAATGCAATCATGTGGAAGCAAAGTGTTCATGCATAGAGTAAGCTGGATGTCAATCAATTGAAGTAACTATTATTGAGGTTTATTTTTCTATTTAGATGTTTGATGATGTACAGAGATAAGAATATTAAGTATCTTTCTTTTATATTTATGTACATATGTTCATTATCTTTCTTGCTCTCAAGACACAGATACACCTATACATATGTATATGTAATGTGTCAAAACTATCATTTTGATTTAGTCTAGCTTTGATCGTATATAATACTTTTTTTTGTTCTTCTTCTTCTCTCTATTCATAATATACTTGAATTCTTTATATGAATACCTTGAGATCTACATAGAACATGGATTTGTTGATATATATATATATGTATATATATATCAATCAAAATATAGCCTTGGAGGCTTACTTATATTGCCAATTCTACTATTTCAAACGTGTAATTAGATTCCATTTGTATTATTGTGTATATAAAGAACAGTTGTTGACGAAAGATTCATTTAGCTTAGAATATTAATAATTAATATAAGTAAAAAAAAAAAAGAACAAGTCAGATACGATTAAAAGAGAATTGCAACTACCTAATCATTTTTCTGTTAAATTAAAATTCACAGTTGAATAGAAACAGAATCAATTAATACTTTTAACATGATGATGATTATGACATTGAATCAATTTAAGATGAATGAATTATACATATAGATGTTTATCAAGTAGCATTTCGAAGTAATATAAACGCTTTCTCAATAGAATATCGTACAATTTTGCGTATGACTGCGTATATTAATCAAATAAAAGCAAGAAGACGAAGAAAAGAAGAGAAAAGACAAACATTGTTGTGAGTCTAATTCGAAACAAGGCCCTTCAAGTATTGACAATGACAACTAGATGGAAAGATAACAAAAACATATTCAATAGCTTGCCTACTATTCATCTCAACAATCAATGTTATTTTTCAAGATACCGAGACAGACAGACATACTTATCATGATAGTTATATTCATATATATATGAAATTAAATATACGGTTGTGTTAGAAAATTTTATGATTATTTTTGAACGCGAAAATATATTGAATATGACTATTTATTCACACTTATGACGTCTATTTCTAATACAAAATTGGAAATGATTGAGAGCATCTAATTTCCTCTATGAATATAATAATAATAACATATGAGATATTTCAATTGGAAGAGAATAGATAGAATCGCAAGCGAAATTACATAATAATGATAAGCTACAATCTATGTAACTAGTTATATTTATTCAACATGCATCAATAATTAGTTAAATATAACATTGACAATAAATATATAATCAAGGTTTTAGAAATCTTATTATAGTAGTTTTTTTCTTCTTTATATGGGTTTAATAATGAGATAGATTTTGATCGTAGAAATGCGATTACGATTTATAGTTATTTGAGTGTAAAAACAAATGATTATCTTCAACGATGGAAATATCGATCAATCATATGACAAAAAATGTTATTTGATATTTATATTTTCAGATCGATATCAGCCATGTTTTTAGTAGGATTTCTGATAGAACTAAGATATGATACTTATTATCATATTACTTTATTATTATAAGATTTGGCTACGAAACTAGAAAATAGTCCTTGTTTTAATCTTTGTTTTTTACCAAAAATGACAGATTTTGAACATTGATTTTATAAGATTAAATCGAGAAAAAAAAAGATTTGGTTTCATCAATTTTGTTTATTAAAAACTATATAGCTTTTATCTACTATTTTCTTAGTAAATAAAATTTATAAGCATAAATACTTTTTGTGAATACAGTGCTGTTATATTCTTAGATGAATAAGAAGATTTCATTTATAGATTGGGCGTAGATTTTAAAAGTTTTTGAAGTGACCATCTTAAACTAGGTGGATCAAAATAAGGTAAAGATTTATATTGTATACTTCCGATTGGTTGCCAAACAGGTTCATGAATCTTTTTTTGCCATCGTTTCTCTGGATTAAGTGATGTTGGATGTTTATTTAAGTAAGGACTTACTGGATGCCAAATAGGTTCATGAATACGTTTTTGCCATCGTTTCTCAGGGCTAAGTGATGTTGGACGTTTATTTATGTAGGGACTTATTGGATGCCAAATAGGTTCAGGTGGTCTAGATCTTCTGTCTTTATAAGGTTTAAGTGAATATTTTGGTATAGAATATTTTCGTCTATAAGAGTAAATCCATGGTTTGATTTCAGGTAGTTTTGATTGATTTCGTGTTTCCGGTGATAAATAGGAATGAAATTTAGGTGGATGATAAATGCCAAGTGATTGCCACGGTGCACTACCAGGTAGAGTAGAAACTGAACGAGCATATTGTTGAAGTGAAAGTGGTGGAGCAGTTTGTACATGAAAATTATGATTTATATAATTCTGTAAAATATTTCCATCGGTACGATATATTTTAGTTCGTATATTAGGAGAAAAATTTCTTTTAATCGCCATTCAATTAATATCAAAATTGTATTGATTGATTCGATTTGATATATATATAGTTAACGAAAGATTTTTTTATTTTGTTGTGATACACGAGTATTTTTTTTTCTTCTTCATATTATTCACATATTTGTACGTAACCAGAACAAATGTTAGCAATAATAGATCAACTTAAATCATTCGAAATCTATCTTCTGTCAATATATATTTGCTGTAAATACATATGTATGTTATTGAGATGATTTTTACTTATGTTTTTAATAAAAAGAAAAATGAGTAAAAATAAAGAAATAATCGATAGCTGCTTCTATGGTTTATCAAAATTTCATATATATTTGTATTAAAAAGACATCGACTTATTCTGACAAGAGAATAAATTTAATCAAATCTTGTTGTCTTAGGAAATGCACCATTTGAAAAGAACGTATTAGGTGGATTTAAATTAGTATAAGTAGTATTTGAAAAACTAGCTGATGGTCCATTACGAAGAATAGACTTCGGCATTGAATTACTCGATTGATTAGGAGTTGATGATATTGATGAATTTGCATAATTACCAGTAGTTCTATGTACAGGAGATGATGAAGGAGAACCAGTAGTAAAGGTATTAGTAGATGCTAATGATCCAGCCGAAGCGTAACGAGTTAAGTTAGATGAAAAAGATGGTTGTGATAGAGGATTATTAGTAGATCGATTGGACACATTAGTATAAGGTGTAATATTTGCTGGACGATATGGACCGGGATCTGACGAATTAGAAGGAGCACCACTAGGAGAAAGATAAGTCATATTGTTTACTCGACTCGACGGTGTAAAAGTTGATGTACGATATGGTGTAATGTTTGTTGATTGATAAGGAGTTATATTTGATGAGCGATAAGGACCAGTATTTGAAGAAGAATATTGTCCTAAATTCGGTGGATTTCTTAATGGATTAGTCGGTAGACTATTTAATCTGTTACCCATTGGATTGAATTCTGAGATGTTCGGTGGATTTCTTAGTGAATTAGCGGGTAGATTGCTTAATCTGTTAGTTGTCGGGCTAATTCCTGACATATTCGATACTGCAGGTTGAATTATAGGAGGATTGGGTGCTGGTATCTGCGGTTGTGTTCGTGATGTATTTAGACGTTGAAAAAGTTCAAGAAATCGTTGCCTTAGTGGATTTGCAGCCATCGGAGGTTGTACTGGTAATCCTCGTGATGCAATCGGTGTGCCAATAACTGTTGGTAAATTCAATGATTGAGGTTGAATCGATGTTGCAATAGGAGGTAAAATATTTGAAATATTATTATTGTTGGCTTCAGGATTAGCTTGAATTATTGATAAAGTACCATCAATAGGATTGATTATTTCAGCAGGAAATACGACAGTATGAAGTCCTGTATTCTTATCAGCGTGACTACCTTCTATGTGTATTGGTTCTAAATGAACTGTTTGTTTAGGTAAGTTATTAAGCATTTCTGGAGTTAGATTTGAAAGTAATGTTGATGTTGCTACAGTATTTGTATTATTAGATGGAAAACAAACATTTACAACTGGATTAGTAACCATTGAAGCTGGTTGAGATACTGCTAATAGTGGTGGTGGTGGTGGTGGAGGATCATCATATTCATAGTCGTAACATCTTGATCGACGTCTTCGATGACATCGAACACGTTCAATTTCTAGTACACGTTTTGGTGGTCCACGTAAACCAAGTGTCGCACGATTATCAAGTGGAATTCTAATCACTCCATGTCGTCCCCATGATGAATGCCCGTGTGATCGACGATCAATGACAATGTCTGGTGTAAGTGGCCTTCGTCTAGGACGACGAATTCTTATAGGATGACGTGCATGTAGCATATGTGGTCGTCTCATTGATGATCTACGACGTGGAGGTACCATATGGAGATTAGGAAATTGTGTTCTCATCGGTAGTCCACCCGCGGATGGACCTGCAGATAATTGTGGAAAGGGTGTTCTCATTGGTAGTCCACCCGCTGATGGAGCTGCAGATAATTGTGGAAATGGTGTTCTCGGGCGAATCGATAAATCTGTTGGTAAAGTAGAATTTGAAAGAGGCGCACCACGTGGTCTGCCTCTTAAAAACGGTTCATAATCACCAGGCATTGTTGAATCACCACCATTGATTGGATTCACTGCCGATGACAGCATTTTTCTGTAATCTAATAATGGTATACACTAATACTCAACATCACTTCTTATCACAGTATTGTTTCTTGTCTACATTCATTAACGATACGCGTCATTTCACACTCATAAACATTTATAGCAAGGCTTTTCTTCTTCTTTGTCTTTGTTTCAGTCGACGAAAGACCTTCGATATAGAAGGTAATCAAAATCGTGAATAAATAATCGAAATTATGTAGGCGCCTAGTAACAGTGTACATTATTCATTTACGTGCTATAGAAAGAGGCCTTTCAAAAAAAATAGATAGATGTAATTAATTTATTAGACAATTTCATAATTATAATCACAACAACGTATCACCACCAATGATTGGCTGAACAAAATCTGATATCGAATATTCAATAGTATATATATTAACCATTTAAAAATTTACAAATAGTATAAATGTTAAATAAACAAATTTATAAAATGCTAATAAGAAATTATATGAACAATATAATGAACTTTAAAGAATATCATAGATTATTACAATACATAAGTAGAATATAATATTGAAATAATCGAATGATTATGTTATTTATGAAAATGTTTATATATAAGATAATGAGATAGAATAAATGACTTAATCAAAAAATAATAACTATTGATAAACTAGTATATGAAATATTTTAAAGTAAAACTGTAATTTTCTCCTTAATTGATTTTCTCTAGAATAAACAAGAAAACAAACTGATTGAATGTGAATAGTACATATCACTAGTTTTTTCGTTTGTACAAAGCAAACATATATAAACACGTGGTTAAGTGAAATATGTATATTGAGTCTTTGTACTCTGCTTGAAAATTAGAGTAGAAATAGACAAAAACAGTTCTAATACATCAATTAATCAATATTTATATAGCTTCTTTTTTTATGGCAAGATGTTTATTTTATCTTTGTGATGACGTCAATCTTTTGTTAATTTTGCTCAAAATATTAGAAGATCATATGTTTACCTTTTAGATGAGTTTTCAGAGAAAACATATTAGAAAGATGTTCACACCTAATTAACTATTTCCCTCCCGGCGATATCATATATGTGTACAAATATCTTTATCGGTTAAAGATTGTATTAGTATACGTTTTAACCATTGAGAAAAGATTTTATCCTTATGAAATGAGACGATATGAATCTTGTAAGACATATTACCTAAAATATCGATAAGGAACTCTTTTGAGCGGTTAAAAAATATACTACCGATGTATTTTTACATTGCTGATAGCCAAAGGGTTAATATTAAAAAACAAGATGCATGTGATAACAACTTATGTATACTATCGACTGATCTATAATTATTCTATATTCAATCATTGAAATTGAAGGACAAATCGATATTTATAGGTTCAATTTTGATGATAAAACAACTAATCATTATATGCTGTGCCTTATATACTTATAGGTTTTCATAAAATAAGTATTATCAATGATTATAATTATAAAATATATTCGAATACTATTATCATTTATCAATCAATACTTTAACGAAGATTAAATAACATTTAAGAGAAACGATCAATTCATGTATAGAATATATTAAAAAGAAAAAAAAGAATCTTAAAAACAAATAGATATTTTTTTATAAAGAAAAATAAATCTTATGTCATTTAAAAACAAGTTCACTCGGTATAGTAAATAGATAGACAATACATATAACAACAAAAATAATTATAAAAATACAAAATTGTTTGCCATATTTATCTAACCTGTTCAAATAAACCCGTGTCAAGATTCCGTGCCATAAGTGCATCAGGCAATGCATTGGGTATTTTATGATCAATGTACAAACGTCGAATAGTACTATCTTGAAGATAACGTACAGTTGCTGGTGATATCCTTATACAACCAGATATATAAATTTCTTCGAGAAATGGTTGTGTATGAGCCATAGCAAGTACAGATTTATCGGTTAATTGATAACAACCAGAAAGAACAAGTGAAATAAATTGACATACACCAAGAAGATCACAGATAGATATATCAGTTATCTAAATAATTTTTTTATAAAAATAAATTTTTTTTTGTTTTTTCAGTTATTTACTTGTTTGCATCCTTTAATATTTAAATGTGTTAATTTCGTACAATGTTTTAATGATGAAATAAGTGCATCACTAACACATGGTATACCCGAAAGTTCTAATAATTTAATATTTAAACAATTCTCAGCTAAACACCATAAAACGCGTTCATTAATCTAAATAGAAAACAAAAAATTCAAATTTCAAAGTATAGAATAATTTTTACATTTCGAAATGAACTTAAAGATATAGTATGTAATTGTAATGCACGTTTTGATGAACTAAATAAGTCATATAAAGAATCAAGTGTTGATGTAAAACTAAGTAAATTTAACGATAATTGTTCTAATGAACTACAATAGCGAACAATATGTTCAACACTACGATCAGTTAATATTCCAACAGTTATATAACCATTCATTTCAAGTGTTTTAAGTCGAGATCCAATAACAGAAAGTATCTATTTGAAAATAAAAGCAGTTTTATTAACATGTATATACAATAAACAAACTTTATCTAGAGCATCATCAGTTATAGTTGCTAGACCATTTAATCGAAGATGTTGTAAATTTACAAGCCGTGTTAAAGCTCGTATTAAAATATTTGTATTATAAACTTGTGTACCGGATAAACATAAATCAACAAGTGATAATGGTAAACAACAAATATAATCAGATACAGGTTCTTGTAAAAAACAAGTTGTATATGATAAATTTAATACTACCATACGTGTTGATCGTACAAATAACTAAATATATAATAATAAATTTTTTCAAAATAAATAATATTTTTTGATTACTGTAAATAAACCATCAGCATCTAAATTAATAATGCCAAATAGATTTAAACTAGAATGAAATAGAATTAATTTTATTTTATTTTGTAAATAATTCTTACCTTCGAATATTTGGACAATAATCAACGAGATGTACAAATACTTCGTTATCTAAACATTTTAAACCTTCAATGTCTAATATTTCCTATAAAAAACACAAAATTATATTGAATATATATATATATGAATGAAACAAACTAGTTTTTCAGCTGTATTTTGTGCAATATAAACAACACATTGACCTGTTAAAGAATGACAATTGACAAGACGAATAGTACGTAAATTAAGATTATTTGAAACAATCGTTAATATTCCATTATCTTGAATTTTATCATTCCATCGAAAATCAATTTCTTTTAAAAATGCAGAATGTATACCATCAAGACCTGCACTAGTAAGATTAGTTAATTTTCTTAATGCGACATATTCAAGTGATAATTGTCCTTTTGTTATAGCAAGTATACCCGAATCTAAATATATATATAGATTTAAATTTTTGATAACAAAATTATTTCATTCTACCTTTTACTTGAGTACATTGATGGATAATAAGTGATTTTAATCGACTAAAATGACTTGCTTCAGCAAATTCAATTAGCATATCATTTGTTAATTGATTACATTTATAAAACTCAAGAGAATATAATGGAATTGAAAGAAGATTTTGTCTTATAGATGGAATTAGATTTAATGAAAGGCAGTCATGTGAAGCAAGCCATCGAAGTATACGTTCACGTTGTGTTGCTGTAAGACATTGACAAGATTCGGACGAAAAATTATGTAGATGAATAGCAGCTTGTTTGATTAGAAGTTCACGTAATTTCAATACCATGATTAGTTTTCTATATTTACATTAAATGTCTTAAGGCTTGTGAAAACGCTAGCTGTTACTGATGACATGGCTGTCAGCATGATTCATAACTGCTGATGTCAGATAAAATACTACATGATTGGTCTAAATAATTAAGCAATCATAGTCCTTTTTAATAAGCATGGTTAAAAATTTTCAAGTCGATATTCATTTTATTCAATTCTTTCATTACACACTGAGAGTTTTATAATATTGATTTAATGTTAAACGAATAGCTTATAAATATGTACATAGTTATGTATTGATGTAATATACGTTTCAAAAGCATCATACAATGAAACTTTTTAATCGAGAGTTTTAGAAATATGATCTAGAAAACTTAGTATACTAATTAAAATGATGATTAACAGTGTTTTTCCATTGATCTAATTATTCAAATACTGCTGGATTGTTGAATATGATCATTATCAATAGTTAAATATGAAAAGTAAAAATATCACTTACGGTACATAAATATTATGTACTATTATCAAAGTAGTCATGACACGATGTTTATATATCTCTAATAACTCTAAAATGAATAATAGTTGATAATATATATATTTCATGGTGTATCTAAAATACTTAAAAGTAATGATGCAGCTATCTATGTCAATATCTCATATTAAATATTAATTTGATAAGAATGAAGCAGCGATAACTTCACTATTTCTTTCCTTATTCTAAGATCTTTTTGAAATATTAGACATCATCTGAAAGTTTTAATTTGTAAATAACTGAGTAGAAAACTGCTACGAAGAACATACTAGATTTTAAACCAAAAATCATAATTTATTCGAGTTTCTGATAAGAACTTTTATCATCTTTACGGATATCGAAAAAAAATACAACAGTCTACATATACATAGTTACATCAATTAGAAGAAACAAGAGAACAAAGAGATAAACAATATTAATATTTCGAATTATTGATATTGTTTCTTCTAATTGATGTAAATATATAGTGTTTTCTCTTCTCTTTATATTTCTGAAGATGACACAAGTTCTTATCGAAAGATGGAATAAATTATAACTTTTATTTAAAATCTAACATGTTCTTCATAGCAGCTTTACACTTAATTATTTCAAAGTTTTTTGACAATTTAAAAGCCTGCTCTACATCTTCGACCTAAAATTTTCTGAGTTTATCTTATTCTAATACTTTTCGAACTATAAAGTCTCATAACAGTCCAAAGAAGTTTTATAGAATGCAGTATTTCTCTTGTAACTCCTTAATTTTATAAAAATAATTCTATATACTAAACAGAAGTAAATAATAATTCTATAATTTCATTCTATCATTTGTTATATTTATAACTAATGCACAGATCAAAGAATACAGTTTATTTTATGTTATTTTTCTAACAGATGTCATTACTTAACAGAGAATTTTTGTTCTAGAATGTTGGAATTCTTTTCACCAATCCGCGAATAGCTATCGCATTTCTTTTCTTTGTGTTTATATGATTCATTATGCCAAAAACCTAAGGTATAATCGTCAGATTTTCTCGTTCTCACTACATCATACATACGTATATAAAAACAAAAACGAAACAGTGATGTCATATCCATCTTATTCTGAACAAACAAACAGTAAAACTTATGATAAATCATATAATACAATTATAGTTAAAGAAGATAATGACGGTTTTATCGACGATGATGATGATGTAGATGATGACGATGATAATTCCAATGATCGATCTAGTGAATCAATTGATAATTCAATGAAGAAGAAAAAAGCTAAAAAAACATTAGGTCGTGTAAAAATTAAAATGGCTTATATCGATAATAAAGTTCGACGATATACAACATTTTCGAAACGAAAAACAGGTATTATGAAAAAAGCATATGAATTAGCAACATTAACAGGTACTGAAGTTATGCTTCTTGTTGCTTCTGAAACTGGTAAGACTATAAATATCAACTAAAAAATAAATCATTTTTCTTATGAATTAGGTCATGTTTATACTTATGCAACTCCAAAATTACAACCAATGATAACTAGTGAAGCTGGTAAAGCACTTATTCAAACATGTCTTGAAAAAGATGATTCAATTGTTGAATCATCTTCAACAGCAGCAGCAATATTAAATAACGATGATGTTATATGTGTAGAAGATAATCAATCAAAAAAACGAACAAGTTTGTCTACAAATGGTAAATCTTATTGCTAAGATATTTTCTTTACTAATTATATAGTTATTTTATAGATAATATTTCTCAAAATGAAATCCGTCCTATAAAACGTGCTAAATTAAAATCATCTGATGAAATCAAACAAATCGATTCAACAAGTCCATGTACATCACTTCTATCAACATTAGGTTCATCACCAACAACAGTAGCCGTGCCATTATCATGTTTTCTTAATCCAGATACTCAACAACAATCAATAACTAATTCAACTTCATTTACTATTGATTTAAATTCTTTGAAAAATAATGGAATGAATATTGTATTTACCCCATCACCTAATTCGTCTCCAACCTCACCTTCATCTAATATACCACTTATGTTAGCTTTTGGTAATTTCCGATCATAAAATAAGGTTATAATATATACATATATATTTATTTATTTATTTATTTATTTCCTTCTTCCTTTTGATTGTATATAAAAGAGAAAAAAATCATATATGATTATTATTATTATTATTATATTGCCTACAATAAATTAAAATCTGTTTCTTTTTTAATTTAAATTCCATGGGTATGTAATCATATCAAAATAGATCGGTCATTATTTTATTCTTACACTAAGATAGTAACATAAAAATCTAGATGAATGTTTTTAAACCAAAGCAAATTCCATAAGAACAATCTGCATGCATGGGAATCTTATATCGATTATTGTTAGCGTTAATCTAAGAACAGATTTTTTCAGTATAATAACAAAACTGAAAAATCTGTACTAGTAAAGAAATACTGAAAGTCAATGGCTTTATATAAGACAACAGCATAATCGTAATGAAATAATAAATATACTGTTCGTTTTTTTTTATTCTATTAGAAATCTCTCCCTCGAAAACTTTATATAGATTTTGTTTTTCTTTTAGATATAATATTTTGTTACTTTTTTGTGTTAATTGATTAGAAACAATAAAATAATACTTCAATGAATACAGTTTATTTTTCAAATTATGTATGCAAATAATATGTCATTGTCGATGTATGGTACCGAATTACCATTTCGTCAAAGTGTTGAAAAAATTCCATCCGAACGAACAGTTCAGGTTTGTTTATGTTTTTCTTAATCTATTCATATTACAATCAAAAGAAATTCAATAATATTTTGATTGTTAAAAATAGATTATTTTATGTAGTTTAATAACCATGATCTTGAATTCTAGTAGATTTTTGTCACCTCAATGAATTCGATCTGTTATGATCAGATCTTTTCTTCTTCTTCTTCTTCTTCGATATATTATAAAGTATCTTCTTACTTCTATAAATTGAACCAATAGATTGAAATTCTATTCATTCATATACTTATATTCGACACCTGAGGATATCTAGACAAGCATAATGTAAATATTTAAAGAAAGACAATGAATTTCCGTTTGCTTTTTTAAATGTGAATTTTGTCAACTTCAAATCATTTTCTATTTACATTTGTTGATAATCATCTTAAAAAATAATTTGTCGTATATATATATAGATATTTTTGTCTGATGTAATCACATCATCAATCATGATTTGAAATATAATTGTCTATCTTATTTGTCATTATGTGTTAATTTAATATTGAAACAAAAAAAAGGAGGAAAAGAACTCAAATAATTAACAACTGTTCATCCATCATGAAAGATAGGCATAAGATCGAGAATATAACTTGCTGTTTTCTTTTATTCTTTCTTTTTTTTTGCTATGATTGACACCACCACCATCCGAGATGATTGCCAACTTTCATTGAGTATAGAGAACTATATGGTTAATCATCGAAGTTGGGATGGATGCATATATACATACATAAATACATACATATTGAAGAGCGAAGAGAAAGAGTGCAAGGAAAGAAAAGAAAAGAGAAGTGGGGGTGAAATCAAGTTGCCCGAATGAGTATACATACATATATATATATATATATACATATATACATATACATACTCTTTCATCCGTTGTCCATACAACTACGTTTAAAGGTACAGATTCTTTTTCTTTTTTTTTCTACTTCACTTTTTCCTCTATCTTAGAGGTCAGTTATTCTTATTGTCCGGCTTCATAAGTTCAATTTAAAAAGAAATATACTATTCTAAAGGAAGAAGAAGAAGAAAAAAAAGAAAGTCATTTCACCTCATTTTCTTAATGTGTCAAACAGGAAATAGACATTTTTGAATTTTTCTTTCATTCATTCATAGGATTTAACTATAATTAATACATATTTGAAACATTTGGAAGCATTATCAATACTTCGTGAATCAAATATTCGTCATTTGTGTAAAACAATTCGTTATGAAAAATATGATGCTCATCATGCTCTATTCAGGTTTGTTCTTAGCAATTATACATTCTACAATATTTATATTTATCCTTTTACACACCGAATAACAATGTTCTTTTAAGTTTTGTTATGTCTACTAGATAGTGACACTACATACATACATATATATATATTCATCATCATTGTTGTATGTTTGTATAGCTAGTAGTTTTTGTTGGTATACGATCACGGTCAATTATCTATTGACTATCTATTTTTAATGATAGATCTTTCAACATATTCAAATTATGATATTGCACCATATATATATAGATGAAAGATAAAAATCTAAAATAATATACTTAAGTTGAGTTATTTCTTTGTTTCAATGCTTGCGCATACTTGGTCTTTTGTTTTTATTTATATAGCAAGAAAAAAAAGAAGAGAGAACTGTTACTGTGTTTTATAGTGCACACGTGTATGTACTAACGCATACATTTAGAAGAATGAAAGGCGACACAAAGGTATATGTAAATATATACTATGAGAGGACAATGGCGAGATAATACTCTCACGTTTAGTATACATTTATATTCATTTTCTATGCTTCTTTTTTTAGTCGTGGTGACTTGAATACCTGTTGGTATATACTTTTATCCGGCTCTGTCTTTATCGAGTCTACAATGTATTTACCACGAGCAAGGTAAGAATACAAATAATTCAGTTTAATCATTAGTTTATTAATAATAATCTTTAACATTTATATCTATATATATAACACATGAGTCCTTATCTTACCAAGTCTTTTCATCATTACATTGTATATTTTAAATATAGTTTTGGTAAACGAACTCCTAATAATCCATATCGAACAAATGAATGTGTAGTTTTAGAACCAACTGAATTACTTATAGTAAGTTATTAGTTTTTAAATCGAATTTTGTTAATCTATCTCTTTTAAAATAGATTGATTATCCATCATTAGACAATAAAGAATTATCAATGAAAACTGATAGTAAACATAATCAAGATCACGAACAATCTATAATTGATGATGAAGAACCGCAAGGAACAATGACACTTAATCGAAAGAAGAGTTCACGTATTAGACAAGTAATATAATTATATTATTTTATTGACAATGATGATTATTTTTTCATTCTTCTTCATTTAAAGCGTTCAATAACAGTTTGTCATTCAAATGATATTCATTCATCAATGATACGTAGTTCACATTCACGTGCTAGTGATACATCAAGTGCATATTCAGGCTCAGATATCATGCAATCATCAACGAATGGTGATGATTGTTTGATGATAACAAATGAAACTGATGATGAATCAGAAGAATCATCAGAAGTAAGAACGAATAAGATTATTTTAATAATGAAAATTTCTAAAAAAAAATTAATTTTATTTAGCATTCATTACCTGTTCGTGATCATATACGAGAAGTATTAATGAAAGATGCAAATGAAAGAACGGATGATGATATTGAAACTATTCTAGAATTTCTTATACATTTTCCAGTAAGATTTCGAATAAATAGATAATTAAATTTATTGATGTTACTTTTTGAAAGGCATTTGCTGATTTAACTTTACATGTACGACGTGAATTATGTAAAGTACTTGTTTATGCACAAGTTGAAAAAGCTCAAACTGTTGTTATGAATGATGGTGAACGTTATGATTCATGGTCAGTTATTATTAATGGTATTATTGATGATGAAACTATCAATGGACAACCAATACGTACATTAACTGTTGGACAAAGTTTCGGTTGTGGTCCAACACTTGATCAATATTGTCATAAAGGTATTATGAAAACTCGAGTAGATGATTGTCAATTTGTTGTCGTGGCACAAAATGATTATTATGCAATATTAAATCAAGTATATTTTATTAAATTATTCATACGTTTGGAATAATTCTGATTGTTTCTAGGGTGAAAAAGATGTTCGTAAAATTGAAGAAAATGGAAAAGTTGTTATGGTTAAAGAAATACGTATTGATGGTGAAGAACATAAAATTCCACGCGAAATTGTTATTAAGGTAATGATTAAATCTGATAGAATCTCCTGAGATTGGTTACGAATTCCTATCCAATAGTAGAATACATACTTTAATTATATTAAACATCCATTTATCTTATCAAGTGATGATGTATTGTTGTCAAAACTTGTGATATACAGAGTTGACGTGTTGTTAGTCAGATTCTATTTGATATACATTATATCGATTAGACACTATCGCTATGTACTATCGGGTTTCATACGCATTAGAAAGATTTCTTTCGGATTTCAACAGCAATACAGTTATTTTTTAATTAAAAACAAACTGAAGAAGCTAAACAGATGAGTCTATTGATTAGTTACATAATCTAACACTCTAGATACAACCATAGAGTATGTGACGATTTTCATATTGTTAATTATTATATATCACATCGGTATATATATTCTATAGGATTTCTAGTCTAGCAAATAATAATGAAATCTTTTCTTTTAGGCTACAGTAGAGAAATTACTTGATTTACTTCTTGATGAACGTCAATTAATTGATGATCCTAATTATGTTGAAGATTTTCTTTTAACTTATCGAACATTTATTCATGATCCAATAACGATAACAAATAAATTACTTGAATATTTTAATAAAAATCTTAATTCAACATTATCTGAACATATAGCACGTGTTATTTTATCATGGATTAATAATCATTATAATGATTTCGAATCGAATTCAAAATTAAATGATTTTCTAGAGAAATTTGATGATCTATTACAACATTATGATGGAGAAGTAAATTCAATAAAAGATTTTTCTTTTATATTATTTTGAAAATATTCGTTTTTTTTAGTTTATGCGATCATGGAAATATTTACTTAATTTAGCTTGTTTTACAAAAGCTAGTATACGTACAGTTACAATAACACGATCGACACGTGATGATATATTAAATTTTAATATTCTCGGTGGAAGTGATACATTAACGAATAATGGAATTTTTGTATCGAAAGTTGAACGAAATTCTAAAGCGTATGACGCTGGTTTACGACGAGGTGATCAGGTAATGGAAATATGATGGACATAGTTTTATGACTGATGAAGGCTAGGAGATTATTGAAGTGATTCTTATCAATAGGGTCGATGAATCATTTGTATATGTCCCGATATCGAGGTTCAATACATAGTAGGATTCAATTAACCTATTATGTTTTCAACCGTATGAATAAATAAATATTAAATTCACTTTCTCGTAGAGAAGAGTCTTGCGAACATAAGTTGTCTGCTTGATTGCTTGCTTGTGAGTCCGCACTTCACTGATTGGTTCTCATAAACTTTGACCGACGGGTAATTGAGGTCGAGGAACACAAATCTAATGTTAGTTTTTTAAAATTCTTTTTGAGGATCATTTTTTTACACAAAGGACTACTTTTTTACGATAAGTTTTATTTCATAAGGGTTGACGGAAGGATAGTCGGAGTCGAGAAACACGAATCGAACGTTAGTTTTTTAGAATCATTTTATAGACGAAGATCAGTCTTTTAAAGAAAGTATTCAGATCTATGAGAAATACTATTTCTACGAGAAAGAGCTATGCGATCGTTATCTGTTTTTACATCAATTTATTTCATTCTCCCATGTTTTTTTTGAAATGAAATAAGAAATAATCTACAACATTGCTTATTTTATTTATCTGTTTTATAGATTCTTAGTGTCAATGGACAATGTTTTGATTATCTTGCTCATGCTCGTGCACTTGAAATTCTTCGTGGTTCTACACATTTGTCATTGACAGTCAAAAATAATTTAATGGGTAAGCATAAATAAAATCTATCTTCTTGATAAGAGAGAAAAAAAGATATTCGTTCCACGCATATTTATTATCATTATAATTATATATCAAAACAAATCTAATTACAAATTTTAAAAAGGAAGATGAAGAAGAGAAAAAAAGTGAATCATATTTTTAGGTTTCAATGAAATAATTAATCCAGAAAAATCACCTGTTCGTAAAAAACGTCATGATATATCATTATATGAACAAGAAATTCGAAATAAATTAAATGGTTCATCACCAATACGTTCACAATCTATAATAACACCAACAACATCACCTATCCTACCAATTAGTCCATCTGATTCTTCACATCATCAATCCCGATTACCATTAATAACAATAACTACACCAACGAAAAATATTCCAATAAATTCTGAAAAAATTAAGCCGCGTCCATTAACAAAACGTATGGGTTTAAAACGTGCTGTTATGCAAAAATTAAAGATTACAAAAAATAACAGGTAATTAAGCTTTTATATTTATAGTCGAGGAGGAATGTCTGGAATTTTTCCAACGATTATACCAAGTGTATAGACCACATGAAGAATTGATTGTGAGCATAATCCATACAAATAATAAATTAATATCACGAGTTGTTCCACCATGACCTAGAAAAATAAAATAGACTTTTCAAAACTAAGTCCAATGATATTTCAGAAATGTTTAATGATTATTTTCATAAAAAAAATGTAATCGCCTCAGACATACGCATATATAGAAAACCAGTAGAAATCTCTTGTGTTTTTCTCTAAATGACTTGTAACCCATCTTACTCAACAATAATGAATTAAATTTCGTAATCAATTTCTTTCCCTTATAAAATCTATTTACCGCTGTACATAAAAATCAACATTAAATTAACGACTGTCCATATAATATATTGTTCCCAATAACAAGCAACCATTAAAATTTGTGCAATAACACTTAATCCATTAGTTGCTGCATCAAGTATATGTGGTAAAGGTTCTTTTTCAAAAAAATATTTTTCTGTGAAAAGTCTGGCAAACCATGGAATTTCATAATAGAAAAATAGTATAACCAGAGAACTTGATAATAGAACGAATAACCAACCAGTTAATTTTAATGATTTAACACGTGTAGTTGCTTGAGTATCTAATTCTTTTGACCATATATATATTCCAACGAATTGCATGGGTAAAAAAAATAAAACAAATAACTGTGCATCACCAGCATAATTATAAGCAAATGCAAAAGGACCATATAAAATTGCTCCTAATATACCCCAAAAATATGCCGACATTTTGCCATGTATTACAAGGACAACATTTAATACATTTGTAAATGCAGATGCACCGGATAAACATAATAAGCAACGACGCCATAATGCTACACGATCGGTTCTATCATTTACCCATTTGAATAAAGAACGTTTTTCCTCACTAGTAAATGAATTAACATCCTTAAAAATAAAATAATTTACATTTACAAAAATAAAAATATTCGCTTTTTTTACCACTATTGTAAAAGTAACACTGAATGTTGCATAGAGAATAAGCACTATAATTTTCCATCTTTGAAATGATTGTAAATCAGGTATTATTGATTGAAATACAAATTTTAATTGTTTTATATAACATTGAATAAATTCCTTTAATTTTGATAATCGATTTCTTCTCCTAATTGTATGATTTCCAACAGTTTCATCTTCACTATCATCTGATGTACTAATTGGTGGATTTTTATTTGTTAAAAGTTCGTTGGTACTAGTATCTGTTAATTCTAACGTTGTTACACTCATCTCCGTCGTTGTCGACGGTCGAATAAGATAGAATAAGTATTATATATCATGAACTATGAAATAGGAAAAAACCATAGTATATTACGTTGTTAAAATTTATATACTGATGAATATAGATTAATAAAAACAAGCGTATGTAGAAGTATTTTTTGTTCTTCCGTTCTGTTTTTTTTTCCTATTCTGAGAGGCCTTAGACGGAAAGAAAATGAGACTGTCATGTGGTTGGAAAAGAAACAGCCATTGCCGGAATAGTATTGGCTGAATATAAAGGGTAGGGCTAATGTAAACAAGTGATGTTGGATGATGAAATCATATGGAATAAATGACGAATAATTATTATGTTAAATGTTCTGATCAGACAGAAAAAATAATACGAAATAATGATTTGACTATAAATGTGTTTACACTAAAGTCATGTGAGAATAATACGAAATTTTAATATTTATTAAGGGAGTTTTAAATGTAAGAGGCTTCTATTTTTGCGTAGTTAAAACTATCAATACTTCTAAGTCACGATTTCATTTTTAACTTGAAGCTATACTGTACTATGTCAAACATAATTACATAAAGAGGTAGTCTCTTATGCAAACATATGAGAAGAAATAAGAACAACAACAACAATTTTGAAAGTATTATTGTTATCATTGTCTAGGCACGAAAACAGGTGGTCGAGGTTAAACAGGTTTAAAATCTCCCAGGCTGTTTTCGAAATAGGTTCTATTATGAAAATAGCTATATCAGTAGAATATCTCATCAAAAAGTACTTAACGGATAAAATTTTGGTCGAAAGAGTACTATGTTGTTGTTTTGTTGCTGATGAACATATCAAAATGTAAGAAAACTGAACTCATTGGGTATCACAGAAATCTTGTACTATGGATTATAAAACAACTATAAGAAAAAAACAAAGTTTTTCCTTGTCTACTGTATATATAGATATATTGTACATTCGCATCTATTAGTCTCTATTCTTTGGCTAATTGTAGAACACTAGTGTATACCTTAAATGTCTCTCCGAATATCTGTTCTCATGAAAAACTAGATGCGGTTTACTATAGTCTGTACTTGCACTAAAACATCTGGAGCCTTCTCTTTTCAATCGATTTACTTACTTCAAATAAGAGAAGCACACATATGTGAATGTCTATATATACATCAGATAAAAGTATAAAAAAAGATAAAATTTTCAATTTATTGTGATAATCTACATTCATTACAAAAAAAAACAATCATTTTTTTCCCTCAACATACTATGTAAAAATAACATTTCAAGCTTATCATTATATATATATATATATTACAAATAACAAGAAATCCAGTCTTGTCGGATAAAGTAAACTAGAAACCTTATAACTTTGATTGATTTGATAAAAAAAAGAGGAGAAGAAGAAGAACAAAATCAATTTAATCATTTAATTATTTGTTCTAGTGAACTTGATACAATTGCAACAGATAATGTTCTCGATACAAGTGTATCATCGTTATCGATATCTAATAAAAGTCTTAATCGAAGTTCAAGTAATCCAGATTTATCTTCATCATCAATTAGTAATAAATCAATGACATCATCAACATCAACATTTAGTGGAACAATCAATGATGAAGATAATATAACATTTGTTGTTAAAGTTTATCGTAGTGATCAATCATTCAAATATTTTCCTATACTTAAAGTAAGAATAAATTTAAAATGAATTATTTTCTTTGGAAAAAGAAATTTTTTCTTTAGACTACGACAGCGAAACAAGTTGTTATGTTAGCTATAACAGAATTTGGTATTGCTGACCAAAGCAGGTAAATTTATGTTGTTGTTTTTTTTTGACAATTTATGAGATATTTTGCTTTCTATTTGAATAAGTTTAGTGTTATTTTGAAATAGATATCAATTTACTTTTCTTTTTTATAGTTATCTATCCTCTTCTGTAGAATTTGATGTATCTCGGTAAGAAGTTTCGCTCAGGGATGGGAAGATCTTTTAGTTGATAATTTATTAGTTAATTATTTCATTTTAAGTATAGAATTAGATCAGTCTGAAATCGATAGTTCAAAACTTTTTATTTGTATAATATCAAAGTTTAGTAAGACGGAAACTATCTTTTTTTATAAATATTATGTAAGAGACTACAAAATTTGTTTTTCTTCGTTGTTCTAAAAATTCTATCCTTGGGGTTAAATACTACGATGTAATATTTAGAATTATGTATAGAATTTCGAATTTTTAAGTCTTGTGCTCCGCATAATTCTCCATTTTTCTTATGTTGATAACATGCCAGGTTGTGTCTGGTAATATACATACTAGAGAATATAGGACACGTGTCTAGTATAAGAGAATCACAAGGCTTATAAATTTCAAACTTTATACATGATTCGAAATAAAAGCAATTTGTACTGATCTAACCCATTAGTTTGAGAAGGATTTTCGAATTGAAAAATTGAATGCTTCGATTATAGTACACCGAAATCTATGAATTTTTAAATAAGTATTCTAACGTTACACTACGTTTGATACGAGTTCTTTCGAGATTCATAATCATAAGTAAATCTCGATTGTTCTCATAAGAGACACAATTATCTGCACAAAAAAAAATTCTCTTATTTATTGCTTAATTCTTCATCACGCGTGTTCCGATATACATATGATCACAGATCGATTTATATAGAATGTAATAGAGATTTATATTTATTATTATCTTTTAGGTATTATTCTTTATGTGAAGTATCTGTTGAAAATACTGTTATTAAACAAAAACGTTTACCAGATCAGATTGATAATTTACCTGAACGTCTTGCAATAAATGCTCGTTATTATTTAAAAAATAATCATTCAACTGAAACACTTGTACCAGATAATTTATCAAATGAATTAATGCGTGAATCACGCATTCATTTTCTTCAATTAGATTCACTTGAAATATGTGCACAATTAACATTAAGAGATTTTGCTATATTTAAATCTATACAACCAACAGAATATATTGATCATATATTTAAATTAAAATCGACTTATGGTATTCCACATCTTGAAAAATTTCTTCGATTACCTAATCAAGAAATGTATTGGACTATAACTGAAATTATACGTGAAACAAATTTAATGCAAAGATCAAAAATAATTAAACATTTTATTAAAATAGCAAGTAAGAAAATAAATTGAATATTAATTTATATATTTTTTTGTTTTTCTTTATAATTTTTATTTAGAATGTTGTAAAGATATGAAAAATTTTAATTCAATGTTTGCTATTATTAGTGGACTTGATCATAAAACTGTTCAACGCTTACAAGCAACATGGGAACGTGTACCAGACAAATATAAAAAAATATTTGAAGTATATAGTCTTATTTTATTTAACTATTGTGAATTATACAGTTTGAAACGATTTTAAACATAGAGGGAAGATGAACATTGATTCTAGTCAAATATCATAGTATTGATTTTGAGGCGGGAAAGAGATATAACGCACCAACTTTTTTTTACGATTTCCTGACGCATAAAAACATACAAAATCTTCAGAATGACAAAATTTAAAACAAGCAAAGTGTTCTGGTGGCTGTGGGTGTATAAACCACTCTTCTCTCATAATAGACACCCAAACCCACACCCACATCCACAAATTATCGGGTGTCCGGGATACCTAGTACGTTATGTCTGTGTTCCCTTGAGGCTTGCTGTCCCTTCGCCAATAGAAAATTTGCCAATAGCGAAAGCATAGGAGATTTGTTGGCGAAATCACAATGAACACTCGCCAATTCGCGAAATTTCAGGCGCGATATGGCGTAAGTCCAGTGGATTTTTGCCAGCTGAAATAACACAAGATTGGTGTAAAATGTATGTGACAAATTAACCTAATATTCTATACACTGGCGAATCTCCTATAAGTATGGTAGCGTAAGTGCACTGGGCTTACGCCGATTGGCGAAATTCGGGAATCTTGGTCTTGACAGGTGAGAAACAGTTGCGTGAAAAATGTTAGTCTTTATAATACAACATACGAGTGAATCTATTCAGCTAGTAACAATAAAAACTTTAGAATAATTTGCTATATCGGAGCGATTGTCTAGAGTTAGAATTATATCATTGAATATCGAATGCTTTTAATCTGATTATCTTACAGCTATAAGGGTGTTAGGAGAATTTCAGATGAATATCATTTATTACGGTTTTTCTCTAATAAATTGACAATTCAGTAAAACGAGAAATATACAATCTTCTTAAAATATTTAATATTAATTTTATTCTATTTCTAGGAACTCAAATTATTACTTGATATATCTCGAAATATGTCTGTTTATCGAAATTTATTAAGGAATGACTTAATCGCACCACCTATTGTAAGTTATTCTAATAAACAAAATCTATTTTATTATTTTCATTTCTATAGATTCCTATGTTTCCGGTATGTATGAAAGATTTAACATTTATTCATCTGGGAAATCAAACACAAGATAACAATCTGGTATAATCAAATAATTATTCTTATTTTAATAAATAATTTTATTCTTTAAGATAAATTTTGAAAAACTTCGTATGATATCAAAAGAAATTCGCTATATTGTTAATATGTCTTCATCACCCTATGTAAAAAGAAAAATTCATTACTTTCTTTTTTCTCTACAAATTTTTATTTAAGGATATTTCAAATATGTTTGATTCTCCAACATCACATTCTCAAATCTTTGCTGGTTTTGGTCATCAACCAACAACTGATTCATTTGCAACAATACGTAAACATCAAACTGGTATGCGTTTATCTATCGTTGCAAATGCTAAACGAATATATGATGAAGTAAGTTTTAAACTAAACACATTTAGAAATAAAAAGTCAATTTCTCTTAGGCATTAATGGTTAAAAAAGTTAAAACATATTTAAATAATGCTGAAATAATTGAAGATGAAGATCGTCTATTCGATTTAGCTAATCAATGTGAACCTGGTAAGGAAATAAAATTTTAGGGAAAAAGAAAATTTTTTTCATATATATAAAACAAAAAAAATAGTTCGACTTTTTTTCTATTGGAAAAATAAATTGTGAGAATATTCTAGCTAATAATCATTATTCTTTTTTTGCACTATGATTTTTCTAGTTTTTCATTTTTTTGAGCATACAAATCAAAAATTAATTGATTTCGGTGAGAATATATATAAATACGAATGTTTTGATGAAAAATGCGACAAGCATGTTTTGTTTATTTTGAATATGCATGATTATTCCTTATTTATTCAATTAAAGTAGGAATATTATTATCATCAACACGAAAATTTTCACTTGCCGGTCATCTATTGTTCAGTGATAATGATGAAAAGACGAGTTCTTTCATTTCGTATGATGATAGAATGAATATTGGATTTCCAAGAGCACGTTTAAATTCATCACCAACAAGACTTCTTGCATTGAAAAATGCCTTTTTTCAAAATGGTATTTTTGTTCATTGCGGGGAAAAATCACGGAAAAGCTCTAGATTCCTTTTTGTATATAAAGCATTGATTGGCTTTTGCTACTTTTGCTATTGATTTGATTTAATCATATTTATTTGTTTATATATTTAATAATTTATTTTATTTAGTAAGTACACTTAAACGCCGTCCATCACCTTCCACCTCAAGTTTATCGTCCAATTCTTCCTGTGATCGTCGTGCAGGTTCTATACAATTAACTAAATTTGGTATGTAAAAAATTTGGATTACCTCCAAAATCTCGAAAATAAAAATCTCGAAAAAAATATCTCGAAATGCAAAAGCTAGAAAATAATTACAAAGCATAGGGAAGCATTGTCCTATAACATTTTCTTACGCTAACTTTGAAGAATGGGCGTGGATGATTTTATCTTTCTCAACTACACCCACACCCATACCCTCACCCACACTTACATCCATACCCACACCCACACCCACACCCACACTCATACCCACACCCTCAAGATGGTTTCTCGAAATTTTCTCTTTCGATTATCGAGTTTTTTCGAGATTTCCTCTTTCGAAAATACAATTTCTCAAGATTTCGTCTTTTCGATATTTCTTTTTTCCTTTATTCTTGTTTTCGAGATTTTGATATCATCCCAAAAACTTTTATTGATTAAAATATTTATCTTTCGTTCATTTAGAATCCTTTTCAGGTAAACAGATATTTAAATATTGTTGTATTTTTGTCCTATTATTTGATTATGCTTATTATATTTTATTAATCTTCGAAAACAAAAAAATAATTCCCATTTTTTTTTTTCTTAGGTACACAATCTCCAGATGCTGTTAATAAATTACTTCGTCTATCAGATAGTAATCATCAAATAAAATCTCGTGCACCACAAAAATCCAATACTATTCTTCGAAGTCCATCGCCATTAATTAATAATTCAATAACATTAACAGGACTTACATCAACTAGTGAATTAACTCAACGACGTTATCATCATCAAGTAACGAAAATGCGTGATGCAAATAAATTAACAAGTGAAAGTTCAAGTTTAAATTTAAAACCAGCATCATCAGTATTATTTATTCGACATCATAAACGTATGTGATTTTTTTGTATTAGAAAAAAACAAATTAATTCTCTTTTGCAGCAGAAACCAGTCAAAATAATAATGATCTATCGAAAATTAGTGATTCAGGAATCAGTAGTCTTAAATCAACAGATACATGTATGTATTTGATAAATAGGATATATATTTTATTATTAAAAATATTATATTATAGATATTACAGGTAGTGGAAGTGATAAATCAACGAGTAGTACAATCAGTGATGGATTTTCATCAATTAAAAATCGAAGTCATTCTATAGCAGCACAAGGAAATACAGGTAAAATTAAGAAATTAAAATAAATATCTGTATTTTTGTTTATATAAAATATAGAAATTTAAACACGGAAAAAGTTTTTATGTAAGGTAAAGCTGTAATTAGTAAAATATAAAAAATTAATCGATTAAATCATGCCTGTAGGAATATTTTATTTCGAAAGTAAAATAAAAACTAATCAATATTACTAAAACAAAAAAGAGCAAGAGAATATTTCTTCGAATCTATCAAAGTTCATCAGTTAATAACATATTTTTTATACTTTTAATAGTTTCGCTATGTTCAAATTGTTAGCATTTACAACATTTAGAATGATATCTCAATCATTAAGAGTGTAGTATCAATTATTGACTTGAATATGTGCATTCCTAATATAGTCCGATCACAAAATTTAAGAATTTTATTTTCGGTTTTAGACAATCAGCATGACGATGATCAAAGACCGATAATAATACATTCTTGGATAAAACGTTCAAAATCTCAAAATGAACTAAATCTTAATCAAGGTTTGTTATAAATTATAATTGTATCGAGAGAATTGTTTTTGCTTTGTAATTTATAGGAGAATCAAATGGAGATTATGATGATCATGAACAAGTGACAGCAGTTTAAATCGATACGCCTGAATGTTTGTTTAAATGGCCCGGTGCCTTTTTTTATTTTTATGTCTATAAACAGTGAGCTGTACTCGTTCTACAAACTATAAATTCATCAACATTGTATATTTCAATATGTGTTTTACAATTCTCTTTGTCCTATTGATAATCTTCGTTACTTTTTTTTTTATATTTTCCTTTTGCTTATCTTGTCGATCTGATTTGTTTGTTTGCTTGTGTTTTGAAAGGTGTAGTATTTCATATATGTAGATATACATATACTCTATAAAATACTCGATCTTTTCATTCTTTTTTAATCGGATTTCATACTTTTGTCATGCGATTCAATACTAATACAACTTATCATTGATTGTCAGATGTGTTGCACAAGTCGTTTTCTTTTGTTTCCTTGTGTGCTTTTACTTCCTAGAATAACAAAAAAAACCTAATAGATTTCACATTGTTGTTCCATTGCTTGGTGCGAATTATGATAATGATGATATTATTAATGTGAAATTCTTACATATCAGAGTTAGATAATATATCACTGTTAAATGCGAAAGAAATTATAAAACTTTATTCATTCAATTTTTTTACTTCATTTTTCTTTTTCTTATAAATTTCTTAATCAATACACTATGACCTCTTTTTGTTTCTGTGTTATATCTTCGCTTGTATGCTATCTATACAGCGCAGTTTTTTCTAATTTCATTATATGTATTTATATATTTGTTTACTTAATTTTTGTTATTGTTATAAATATCATGATAATATAGAATCGTATGTAAAATAAAACAACAACAACAACAACAAATTAAAAGGAATAAAAATGAGTCATTTATATTAAAAAAAAGAAGATGAGAATAGAAACCACCTGACTAGACATATATATAATATGGTTCGATCATCGTATGATTTTCATATTTGCAAATCAAAATGTTTTTATTAGTTATTCTTGGATTATTATGTTGTTCATCAAATTTAGTATGGAGTGCAACACCATTTAAAGATTGTGGATCACCATCTGGTACAATTCAATTATTTGAAGTAACTGATTGTACAACAGTTCCATGTAAATTCATTAAAGGTCATACATATTCTATGAATTTAACAGTTCAAGCAAAAGCACCATCAGCTACTGCTACCGTTGCTTTACATGGTAAGAAATTTACATTCATTTTTTTTGTTTTATATTTAAATAAGTAATTTCTATTGATGTATTAAAGGTATAATTGGTGGTATTCCAGTTCCATTTCCAATAGGTGAACCAAATGCTTGTAAACTCGGTGCTAAATGTCCAATTGCTTCAGGTGATGCTAATGTAGTCTCATTTTCATTACCAGTATTATCTTCATATCCAGCAATTTCACTTTATGTGAAAATTGAACTGGTTGCTGATGATCAAAAGAATGACTATGCTTGTTTACAATTCCCAGCAACCATCACATCATAATTGAAATCATGAATAATCTTGTTGACTAATAAAAAAACAGCAACAGTTTTTTTTCGAGAAACTTGATTAAAAAAATAGCTCAATAATATTCATAGTTTTTAGTAATTACTTTTATGATTTAACATTTATTCGTTAATGAAAAATAAAATATCTATATTTTTAATATTCTTTGTCATAAACATCTAAAGCATAGAATCAAGCTGATTTCTAATAGAATAAATTAGTTTGTAGATTTATTTCTCATTGCCGAGGACACAGTCAAAATTTCAATAACAAATATATCATTATGCATAGCAGTAGGGTAGATAATGCCCTGATTTTGACCTTTTCGATTAGAAAGAACGATCATTGTTGATATTGAAATCGTTGTCTTACATTTACGCCGATTTAATTTTGGCCCTGGCAATAGACAAGTGCATTTTATTCTATTGTCAATATAACTCTTATGAGAATGAAAATTTAAACAGGTGTATTTTCTCATACACCCTGTAACATATACAAGGTGAAAATATATTTTCTTATTTACTATACCAACGAGAATAACAAATATAAATGATGATTTATTTTGAATAAAAATCAAGATAATGAAAAAAAAACAATTATTATTTTATTTTTTATTTGTTAATTATAATTTATACATTAAAGAGAATAATTGTAATGTTTTCTTTTGTTTATTATGTATTGCGAAGATATTGTTTACATATAAAGAGTACATGTACCACTATTAAATGACATACCAGTGCATACATCAGTCGATGAACATAGACTGATACATGCCAATTTACTTTGCGTTGAAAGTACATTATATACACCTCCATACATGCTTTTCTGGGTATATTTATACAGTTTTATATCCGATCGTGAAACGGTGCTTGCACATTTTTGTATAGAATTTGTCTGATTTGTACGAGTACATATTGTGTAGGCATTGACAATTGGTGCTGCTGTTGTTGCTGTTGGACATAAAAGTGGTACAACACATAGAACAGCACCTACTAAGTTTGTCAAAGTGCCTAGTAAATTATTAATATCACTAGTACTGGCAGCTACTAACTGAGAGCCAGATGAAAACCAAAAATTACCACTACAATTTCTTGCTCTGAATGTAACGTTAAGTAGAACAATATCACTAGCTAATGTAGCTGTTCCATTAGTTAAATTCATTAAAGTCATTTGATGACTTGAGCAGTATTGACTAGCAGCACTAGCTGTTCTTGTTGTTCCGCAATCTACATAGAATTTAGTCGGTGTTGAACAATCAGCTTGTATCATAGAAATATGTCCAACAATAAAAAGAAGTAGCATAAACCATTCCATACTTTCTAATGAGAAAAATTTTTCAATATGAAGTTATACTTTTTTTGGTCTGTAAATTTATACTTCATTTTTTATTAAAAATGTCCTAGTATTCTGTACTTTTTCCCCTTTTTTTTATTTCTTAAAAATAAAGATATATTTGATTAATTTCATGGGAAAAAAACTCATTTCCGATAGATATTTGACAAGCATCTTTTTCATTAGTTAAAAACACCTGACGACTATGAATAATAATAATCAAGTGTATATGTTTTTAAAATGATAAATGTTCTTAATATAGAATATCAACTTCAATAATAAAATAATAAATTTAAAGAAATCATTAAAATATGACTGTAAATCTCAATAGTAATAAATATTTTAACGCCCTTTTTTATTTAGTATCTGAAAAGATCATATATGATTATTCCGATTCTACTAGAACAATTGATCTTTGTATTCTTTCATAGTATTACTCATTGAAAATGTTTCTCAATCAATGATACAAATTATATATCTAAAATGGTAGTTTCAATTTTCTTTTGTGATGTTATTTTACATAAATAAAATCTCACATCACATAGAAAATAATCGATATTTCGACAAAATTTATTGAATATAATGCGTGTGCGATTATATTATAAATAAAGGTTACAGATTCCATCTATGTATGATATGCCAGTACATTTATCATCTGCTGAACATAGACCACTACACGTTGCTCGACTTCGTGCAGGAAATGTATCTAATATGCCACCATACATTGGTTGTTCAAGAAATTGAAATGTTTTCATATCTGCTCGTTCCGTTTGTGTTGAACATTTTTGTATAACACGTTGTTGTATAGAACGAGTACAAACGATGATTGCACTAGTAATAGGTGCAGGCGTTGTTGTTACTGGACAACCACCTAGAAGACAAGCAAGTACAGTACCAACTATATCCAACACTGCTCCTAATGTGCCGAGAAGACCAGAAAGAATATTAGTAAGTACCGTACCAAGGTTAGCAGTATTTGCAACCAATCCAGTCAAATTACCAGATGAAAACCAAAAATTAGCTGAACAACTCAGTGATATTAGAGTTTGATTCAGAACATTGACGTCATCAAATATATTTGAAGAATTTGTTAAATTCAATAAAGTCATTCCATACTTGAGACATATTTTTACTGAATTAGCAAGTGATTGAGGAGCAGTACAATCAATATAGTATTTTTTTGGTTGTGGACAAGTACTTTCTACTATTGTCGCATAAGCAATAATAAATATAACTGATAAATATCGCCACATACTGATACAAACAAACGACAATCTTATGTTTTGATATTCTGCTTTTATAGTAAAATTAACTTGAATATTTTCCTATTTTATACTAATAAAAGCACTTATACTAAAAGGTTCGCTCAATTATGATAATA